TTTTAGATCTCTAAGAGAACGCTGCTCTTGTCTTCGTACAAGTTGTTCCTCTTTGACGAGGTACTAGTAAAAATCACAACTCTTCCCTCGCGATAGAAACTAGAACTGAGATAGGTTACAAGTGTGGGTGTGTGTGGAGGCCAGGAGATCCAGGCCGCCAATCTCTTAGTCACTGCACCTGTTCGCTTCTGGGTAATGCAGTACACTGGCACCAGAACCCATGCAGAAACACTTATGCAGCCAAATTCAGATTTGTTTTGATCACCTATATACACAATGAATTATTTTATGTAGTTCTTAACATTTTATATTATAACCACAAACATGATATAACCAAGTGACAGAATATTTGAAAAAGATAAACAGATCCATACTTGGTCACTCCAACAGAGCCATACTTTCATCATTCCAAAAAATAATGACTATGATGACCACTCCTGGAGATAAGCTCCGGGAGGGCAGGGCTATGTGTATCCTGTCTACTGCTGTGTTTTTAATTTTTAAAGAATGTAAATACCTGGCCCGGCTGGTATAGCTCAGCAGTTGAGCAAAGAGCCAGGAACCAAGAGGCCACCGGTTCGATTCCTGGTCGGGGCACAAGCCCAGGTTGCAGGCTCCATCCCCTGTTGGGGGTGTGCATGAGGCAACCAATCGATGTGTTTCTCTCACACTGATTTTCTCTCTGTCTTTCCCTCTCTCTTCCACTCTCTCTAAAAATCAATGGAAAAATATCCTTGGGTTAGAATAAAAAAAATACACATTAAAGTATTCAGAGATTATGGGGCACTGTGTTGGCAACTTAACCCCAATGCTTATTTAAAAAAAAGTTTTTGTATAGTACTTACAACTCTTCTGTAAGTTTGAAATTATTCCAAAAGGAAAAAAGTGGGACTCTCTAAGGGTGGGTCTGAGCATCAGATTTTAAAAGTGGCCGAGGTGAGTCTAACATGAACCAAGGCCACTGCTACAGGTAGGTCTCTGTTACCATCATTAAAGAAAAAAGGTTACATACTTCAGCCCGAGTACACGAACCAAAATTTATTTAACCAAACCCTCCCCACTTTCCCTTCAAAAATGATTTACTGGAGAGTTTTCATATGCCAGGCAGGACAGATCCCTCCCTAGGGGTGCTCAGTCTTGTGGGAAATATACATGAGGAGACAGGCTCTGTAACGATCAATTGCTGGCATTTGTTCAACAGTGGCTCTGTCTGGGCAGCATGCTATCTGACGGCAGGCACCGCTCAGATCTTCATGTACAGGATCGGGAGCCAGGTGCAGTGAGATGAGTAAGTGCCGGGGTAGAGCTATGCCGACTGTGGGCTATGCTGCTGGGTTGGAGGGAGCGAGGAGCTATGAGCACACAGGGACCGTTCTCAGCTAGACCCGCAGCCACGCACCCTGTTCCGCTGTAATCACACCTCCTCCGCAATGACACCGTGCGGCCGGCTGTCCCCTCCCAGCCCCGCCGCCCTCCTCCTCGGGTTAATTCTGAGGAGTGGAATCTGGTTGTAGGGAACAACCCATGGCTTTCAATACCTGTGGCCACGTCACTGGCACCAGCCCCTGAGGAATCCATTTTCCTGGAGCCTCACCGGAAGTGGGCGTTGAGACTTCAAAGTGTTGCCATTGGTAGAAAACTAGTATTTCTTTTATTACTAGTTAAACTAGATCATTCCCATTCACACTCTCTTTAAAGCAGAAACTTAAGGTCTTCATAGTCACTACCGACAGTGTGTCAGGGGACACCAGTGAAATAACACCCCGGCCTGTGTCCTACTGCAGCCGCTGTCCTTCCTCCCTGTAACCACCAAAGCGGTTGTGTCGCAATGAGCGGCATCCAGAGAAAGCCATCTCCAGGTTCCTGCTGAGCCCCCCCCCCTCCCCTCTGACACTTACTGTGAGCTCAGTGTGAACAGGGGAAGGGTCAAGTTGCTTTGAAATCCTAGCCCAATGTCAGCAAGGCAAACACTCTGTGTGGTTTGTTATGAGGACAAAATATACATTGAAATCATACTTCCTGGACATTCGGCACAAGCGTGGCTCAGGAAACATCACGAGGGAAAGACTGAGGGGTAAATTGCCCAATTCTTGCCACAGCAACGGGGAGCCCATAGTCCCCGTGCCCCCGACAGCTCTGGCGTATGCCTTTGAGATGGGAACTTCCTTTCAAAAAGGTCCTGGACTGGGCAGTAAAGGTCGTGGTCACCAACAACTAAAGAATGCTCCCCAAGGAACAGCACGTGTGAGTACCAATGTTCCCGGTCAGAGGCGTGTCTGTGTCACGCTGACCCGCACTTCGAAGGCCTATGAGCAGATAACTCTTCTGGCCTCCATGTGTCGTTGTGCCAAGGCTTGACCATTTAAAGCCAAGTCATCTGCAAGGAGCTAATCCCTGACTCAGAGAGCAGTCCTCGGTGTATCAGCGTTCTTTGTTCCATTCTATTGATAAGAGAAATGAGGCCTGGAAAGAAAAAGTGACTCAGCGGAGGTCACATCAGCTATAAATCACCAGCCACAGGACAGGAGGCTGTTAGGGCACAACTTCCACTTGCTGTGTTGTTTTTTATATTTGCAATGAAATCTGCTGTGCAGTCAGGTTAGAACGATTTTAATCATTTCGTAAATGGCTTTGTAAACTGCAGGCGGTAACAGTCTAAACTGCATGAGCAGTCACAGGCATACTTGGATAGCATTTGTTAATGGGCATAAATTTCATGATTAATAACGTTTCAGTTTCGCTGAACAACACTCTGTAGTCAAACCCAGACTGCAGGTCCTGAGCTATCAGAAGGTGAAGGGAATAGTCATAAAATAGGTGGGAATTTAAAACCAACACTTAATCCTTTGGGTAATTACGAGGTGACGTTTGTACCATTTTTACATTTTGGGAGTATGGTCAGTATTTCATACCAGGGTTAGATAAGATTTTAGTTTAGGTAAGATTTTAGCCAATTTACACCCTGGATTACAGGAGAAAGTCTTACTGGAGCTAATGAAGTCATTCTCTACAGCAACAAGAACAAAAGCTGGCGGGAAGAAAGGTGGCAGGCTGTGCCCCAGGCCCACACTAAGAGAAGGCTCTGCTGGCATAAGGGAGGCAGGAGGAACAGCCACCTGTGCTGGTGGAGAGGTTGGCCACTACAGACACGTCACTCCCACACTAATCACAAACACAGCGGATGTCAGCCCCAGTCCCCTTGGCATCCTGTGGGGTGGGGTAAAGAACTCAACAGACTCGTGCAAAGTTCATGTGGAGGAATAAGCTTAAGAGAATAACCAAGAAAACTTTCTAAAAGGATAAACTGCAGTAGTAAAGTAGTATTTTTCTGGCACCGACCAGTGGAATAAAATGGAAAGTTCAGAAACAGGCACAGGTGTGCATGGGCATCAATCAATGAGAAATGGCAATGAAAGGAAGCACTGATGAGCAACGTCATCACACTGACTGGATCGCTCCCTCACACCACGTGACCACACAGGTGCCAGGTGCACTGAGCATTTCAATGCAAGAAAATTAAACGAAATGGGGAAGGCTTCTCTACAGATGATTTCAAAGGTAGAAATAAAATAAAAGATTGATAAATTTGACATAAAACAAAAAATACTAAAGTAAGATGTCTTATGGATATCACTTTTCTGTCCTTTATACTACAACTAGAGGCCCAGTGCACGAATTTGTGCACCAGTGGGGTCCCTCAGCCTGGCCTGTGTCCTCTCGTAATCCGGAATCCCTCTGGGGATGTTGGACTGCCAGTTTCGGCCCAATCCCTGCAGGCGGGGATGTAGTAGTGCATGAAGCAGCAGGTGGCCGGGGAGGAGCCCCGAGCCCGGGCTGGGCACCATGCTGCTCCTGCTCATCCCAGACTTGCTGCACCTGCTGCCGCCGCCACTAGTTTGGTAGTGCTACCGCAGAGGTGGGAGAGGCTCGCACTGCTGCAGCTGCGCTTGCCAGCCATGAGCCTGGTGTCTGGCGCCCATCTGTCAGCTGAGTGGCGCTCCTACTGTGGGAGTGCACTGACCACCAGGGGGCAGCTCCTGCATTGTGTGTCTGCCCCCTGGTGGTCAGTGCGCATCATAGCGACCGGTTTCCTGGTTGTTTGGGCATCCCATCCAGTTGTCTGGTCACTTAGGCATAGATATATTCCTTAATTTAGCATTTGTCTTTTCATTGCATTAGTTCCTTTTGACACATAAAATTTTTTTAAACTATAAAAAAGGATATCAATCCTTTCCTTAAAGTTTCTTTGCTTTGGCCAACAAATGACTTTCTTAACCCCAAACCAGACCAATTTTTCTTTATATTTTCTTATAATTCTTTGTTTTTTATTTTATGTTAATTACCACGTTAATCGCCCAGTCAGTCACCGGTGACTGACACTGTATTTTCTGGCTGGAAGACAGAACAGGCTGGGCGCTTAACGTGCTAAACAGATGAGAGGTCAGAGCACGGCTCTGTTCTACATGCACTGTTTGATTTGAGGATGTTACTTAACCCCTCTGAGTCTCAATTTCATTTCCCTGATAAAACAGACATAATACCAACTTATTAGAGTTGCTGTGGGATTCCCAGACGTAATTTACACGGAGCACTTACGATGGCAGAACCCGATAGAGTCAACGAACAGTGGCTATTTCTTTCCATGCTCTCACGTTACATATTAGACTTCTGGATTTCATTGACAGATTTCCATGACTAGCCACTTATGGTGATATTTTCACCTGACTTTAAAACAGGTTTCATACTATTTAATTAATGCTGTAGTTTTTCACTTTTTAAATTACTTTTAAGCCATAATATCTGCCAGTCAGAAAAATAACAGTTCTTTGAAGGCTATCCAGTTATAAACCGCATCCTACCGCTCAGTCCTTTAAAGCTGCAGCCTGGGGTCATCAGATGACCAGTAACAGTACCACCCAAGACTACTAAGCGGTTCTTACACACCAGGACTGCTGAGCTTATTTGTGAACCTGAGCTATCAGCAGATGTTTCCGACTCACCTCCAGCAGCCCGTCCTCTGGCAGGTCGGTGCAGTGCACGGCGTTCTGGATCTTGGATTTGCCGAAGACCGCCCGGAGGGTGCCGGGGCGCAGATGCCGGGCAATTTCCTGTTCAACACACATACGCAGATGGGCCAAGTCAGCCAAGTGGTGTTGGTAAGAAAAATGCCAGCAATATAAAACGTTGGAATTATTTGTTTATGGAATACACGAATACATTGAGGGGACTAGTTTTTCTTGGAAATAGCATGAATGTATGGAAACTTTTCCTGCTGAAGGGCCTTCAAATAATTTAATTTTTTCCTCTTCTCCTGCTCTCTCTCCTTCTCCTTCTCCCTCTCTCCTACGCACACACACTTTCACACATACACACAGGTTACACAGATATACATTCTGCTACAGCATTCTTGGACAGGGTGTGGTGCAAACGTAAAGTTTTTCTGGAATCCTAGGGCACATGGGTGTTCTATTTTACTAAGCACTGCCAACCATTTCATTTCCTTTTTAAAAAATGTATTTTTATTGATTTCAGAGAAGAAGGGAGAGGGAGAGAGAGAGAGAAACACCAATGATGGGAGGGAATCATTGATTGGCTGCCGCCTGCATGCCACCTATAGGGGTTCGAGCCCACAACCCGGGCACATGCCCTTGGCAGGAATCGAACTCGGAACCCTTCGGTCCGCGGGCCGATGCTCTATTCGCTGAGACAAACCGGCTAGGGCCCAACCATTTTCTTAAGTGGTTATAACAATTTTCCCTCACCCACCCGAGCACAAGAATTCCCACCCCCCACATAAAAGCCAACCTCTGATGCTGGGTGAGTTTAGCGTTCCATTCCGGTGGGTGTGAATAGCATCATGGCCTTGGTCCATCTTTCCCTGGTTACTAAAGAAGCTGAGTGTCTTTCATATACATCCTCTTCTGCAAAGTGCCCATTCTTGTCTTTCTCCATTCCTCTATGAGGTTATTCTTTTTCTTTTGAATGCTATTCTTACTATATTCTAACTTCTATTTTTTATCAGTTATATATGATGCGAATATCTTTACCTAGTATGTAGCTTGCCTTTGAGTTTTTAAGTATGTTTTCTGATGAACAGAAATAATTTTAATGAAATTAAATCGTGCCGAGACTGCTGAGCAGCAGTGAGGCCTCTTGAGGTCAGTGGTCATGGAGGTGAGGGGTCACTCAGGTTGTCTGGGTTCCCAAGCCACGTTTCCTGGTCCAGTGTATTGTGTTTAGATGCCTGGTAGCGATGAAGCATAAAGATATAGAATAGCAAGTGTTCACAGCTGCTGTTAAAATTCAGGCTTTCGTTTTGGATAATTTTTTTAGGGAAACGCCTTGATACTTTGATTTTATAGTAATACTTTGTGATTACTGTAAAATATTAGCTATGCCTAGGAAAGTAAAAAATACTGCAATACTAAAAGTGAAAGCTCACTGGATCCCCACAGACCATGTCCCCTCCATCTCCTGGACTCCTGCTCCTCCCTCTGCTTGGACTCTGTAGTGAAAACCATCCTCAGGCCCAGGCGCCAACCACCCTTGATGAAGCCAAAACGAGTGTCAGACACATAAAAGCAACACAAAGTACCAGCATGTGATTTTCATTGAATACCACAAATAACTGTTTAGAACTGAGCACAGCATGCGTGAGGGGTTTAAACAATTTTCCAAGCTCCACAAAATCACCCCCATATTCACTCCCCACATCCACCTGCCTGCTCAGCCCCAACCCGTCGAATGCTTGGTCATTGCCCAGCTCATCACAAGCACGAAACATTCAGCTCAGGTAGTCCTGCAGTGGGAGGAAGCGTTCTGCTTGAAGAATGACCTCTACATCTGAGAGGTGGAAAAATGCACTAAGTAGAATGGTGATTAGCAAAATGCTGAAAAAAAGGAAGAGCAAATGTATGTAATTATTCTATTGCTGTGTGCATTAAAAAGAACATTATTGATTATTGAGTAACTAGAGGCCCAGTGCACAAAATTCGTGCATGGGGAGGGTGTGTGTGTGTGTCCCTCAGCCCAGCCTGCACCCTCTTTAATCTGGGACCCCTCGAGGGATGTCTGACTGCCTGTTTAGGCCCAATCCTGGTGGGCAGTCAGACATCCCTCTCACAATCCAGGACTGCTGGCTCCCAACTGCTTGCCTGCCTGCCTGCCTGCCTGATCACCCCCTAACCACTCCCCTGCCAGTCTGGTCGCTCCTAACTGCCCTCCCCTGCTGGCCATCTTGTGGTGGCCATCTTGGACCACATGGTGGTGACCATCTTGTGTGTTGGATGGTCAATTTGCATATTACCTCTTTATTATATAGCATATAGGATGGGTCTATTCAACTGATAAAATATATTATAAAGCCATTCTGTTTCAGTTCTCCACAATATGGGAGAGATATGCAAGAATAAAATCACCTTTCACTTAAGAAATGAATTAAATTGATCCCTAGCTAGTGTGGCTCAGTGGGTTAGAGCGTTGCCCGAGGACTGAAGGGTCATGGGTTCAATTCCGTTCAAGGGCATGTTTCGTGGTTGCAGACTTGATTTCTGGCCCTGGTCAGGGCACATGCGGGAGGCAACCAATTAATGTGTGTCTCTCTCATCGATGTTTCTCTCTTTCTGTCTCTCCCCCTCCCTTCTATTCTCTCTAAAAATCAAAGGAAAAAATATCCTCAGGTGAGGATTAACAAAAATATTAAAAAATAATAAATAAATGAATTAAAATAGGAAGGATTCATGAAATGTACTAATTATAGAACTTTAAGAAAGACAACTTGGTGATCAACTATTGAGTATATTCATTAAATGAGTGGCACATGGTGGGTAATCACACCTGTAATTAGTCTAATTTTGGGCAAATTCTAAGTAAAAGAAAGGAAGGCTTCCCTAAACTATAGGGTAACCATAACCACAGTGATATAGATAAGTGGGTGAATATTAAGAGAGGGACTAGCATAGCTCCTGTCTGGGCCACCCTAGGACAGCTGTGAAGCAAAGAAACAAAACAAAGTCGTGTTATAATCACTGCCCTCATCCCACAGACAACGAGGGTAATAGAACATAATATGAAAGGCCAAGGAAGCAGCTGCCACCATTAAAACAGCACAGACCCACGCTGGTTCTCCCACAAGGAGCCCAGCACTATTAACAGTCCTCTTCCCGGCCCCTCGGGAACCTCAGCAATATCTCACCAAAGCTCACGTGCAAACAGCTTTCCGTTTGCATGCAGCTGTGAGTTAACTGAGACAGTTGCAGTTTACATTCCTGGAGATAAGCAGTATCAGACTAATTCACGACTAAAACAAGATAAGGAAACACTGGGAGAAACTGGTAGCAGGAAGGGAATCTGAGAAGAGGTGGAAAGGCTCCTTTTTGTCAGTCCGAGGATCCTCTCCCACCCAGGGAGGACTCGGGGAGGAAAAGGAACTCAGCCGCCGGTGGCCCAGGGTGGCCCAGGCTCACTGAATGAGCCAGCAGGGAGCCCACAGTGAAGGCCCGTCACAAAGGCCACCTGCTTGCATATGAGGAGCCACTGAAGCATCTGACTTCTCAGCACTTAGCACTCCGGGGCCACCAGCCCTTATTCTTTCCTCCGCCCACGCGGCACCGCAGACCAGGCCGGGCCAGGCTCCCCTCCTGAGGGTGGCTCCTGCCAGGGCTCCCTGGGGCTCTGTCTCACCTCTGGCTCTCCCTGGGCAACCTCATAAATGGTGCTGGGAACTAGGGCAACAGTTTTGTTTTGTTTTGTTGGGTCTCGGTTCTCTTCCATAATTTCCCTTATTGTTTGTTTGCTTTTCAGGGGTTGGGGGTGGGATAATAAATAAATGATTTCAGTAATTAGAAAGAAAACAATAAAAATTACATTAAAATGTTTTATTTCACGCCTCAAGAACAGAGATGTCTTCCAATTTTATTATAGAGGCTTCTGTTTTAAAGCCTAAATGTAGTGAAGCCCAAGTAGAAACTCCTCACATACAATCTCGTCTGATCTGCAGCTACTCAGTGGATAAGCTAGAGTCCATTGATCAAATAAAGGAATCCGAAAAAAGCAAAACAAAAAAAAGGACACCCTACACCTTGCATTAGTCACAGAAATTGATTTACATCTGTGTTTACTTCCTAATGCTTTGTTCATATTGCAGACAAATGAAGCATTTAATCAAATTTAAATATTTTGTCCTGTTTTGAAACAAACAGCATAATCAAGAGACAACTGCTGAAGGTTTGCCAGAGACTTGCAGTGTGGCCTGTGGCCCAGCGGAGTCACATCACCTGAGACTGTCAGACAAGCAGAATTTCAGCGCCCCCTCCTCCGATGAAGAGAGAATTTACACTTCAATAAGATTCCTGGGGTTTCCTATGTTCATGGAAGTTGAAGAAGTTCTGTGTTAGAACACAGGTCCTCTAATTAGCATCTAGACCAGGAGATGAGGGGCATTCATAAAGGATAAATTACACAAGGAACTCATGCCAACTGCCAGTCAGAAGCGCAGAGCATCAAAGGCACGGGGTTGAGGAAAACAGAGCCGCTCTAGGCTGGGCCTTGGTGCTTCTTAAGGACAGAACTTGGAAAAGCAGAGAAACTGGAGTACGGTAAACTCACCCCCTCTGCACAAATCCCGTTTTGTAAATGTGACAGACCCAGAGCTTTGCCCACTAATATGCATTTTACCTGTTACACTACATCTTACATTTCGGTTTTACTTAGAATGTAGGGAAACCTCTTTTTGAAGCACCCTGAAAGGACTTTTATTAGAAAGAACAGAATCCTATATAATAAAAGCCTAATATGCTAAGTGTCCGGTCGTCCGGTGACCAGCCGACTGTTCAACCAATCAAAGCGCAATATGCTAAGGCTGCTCAACACCTCACTATGACATGCACTGACCACAAGGGGGCAGATGATCTGACCAGTAGGTTAGCTTGCTGCTGGGGTCTGGCCGATAGGGACTGAGCAAGATGGGCCGGGACATGCCCTGGAGCCCTGCCGCAGTCCCTCCCTGGCCCAGTTGTGCATTGGTTGGGTCCTTCGGCCTGGCCTGCGCCCTCTCGCAATCCGGGACCCCTTGGGGGATGCTGGGGAGCCGGTTTCAGCCCAATTTACA